CTGGGGAATTTCACCCATGTCCAAGCTCCTCCTTCCATAGTGAAATTAGGGCACGCGAGAGGGGTTTTCTTGCAGTTCTTAATGAAAACAGAGTTCCCGAGTCGGGGCCGGGGCTGAGTGCATAGGCATGTTGTCAATGGCTTTTTCGAAATCTATCGGAGTTAGGGTAATGTCGGAAATCGGGCATACATTTATGGAGGTTTGAGGGTCATCATGAAGAAATCATTTGGGTCGTCGATCCTCAGACCGATTAGTGGTTCACTAAACACAGAGTCGTACTGGGATTTCAATATTTCACTCTTTCCTTGTTGTCACTGTGTAAGTCCCATCCTGTCTGAGTAAGGGCCCGATACTAGATGTGGTATTTGCCTTGTTTTTGGCATTGAAAAGAAATATTTTGAATTTCTTTCAATTTCACTAATGCTTTAAGCTCCTCCTGCATTTTCCTGGTTCTGTAAGAGTCATTTAGCTTAAGTTCGATAGTTTTGCACTTCCCTGGTCAGCGCCTCCTTTCGTGTATTCAGATATTCTAGCACTCCTGAGGAGCTCAGTGACTCTTCGTCGTCTTCTGTAGAGGGAGCGTCTTTTTCTCTCCAGTTTACTCTGCTCTTCTTCTTTCTTAGGGGAATATGCCCAGAACATGCTTCGGCTCCAGGAAGTTGATCCTTTCAAGGCACGGTTTGGATCCATGTCATTTAAGACATCTTCCCAACATTTTTCGTTTAGGACATGGTTTACCTGGTCCCAGTTGATGTTCTTGTTGTTGAAAATTGTATTTTGTGAGACACCTTCACAGGTACATGCATTCTACTGTTCAGGACCCCTATGCATGTACGTCTGGACTTCGATTAGATTGTGATCGGAATTAGTTGTTTTTGATAAATTTTTATGTCTCTTATCAGGTCCTCATTATTTGTGAAGATAAAGTCAAGTGTGTTTTCTAGTCTTGTTGGCTCCACTATATGCAGCTTAAGGTGTGTTTTTTGCAGAGACTTAGTAGGGTCATGTGTGTGTGACCTTTCATCTGCGCTACCTTTCCCGGGGGGTTGTTTCAGCTATAACATTATTTGCTACATTCTTCCATTTTGTATGCCTTAGGTTGAAATCACAAGCAGTTTAAAATGTTTGGGGATGGAGCTGGGAAGGTTTTCCAAACAGTAATCGATTTTCAGTAGCTGTTCCCTTTAACTGTTGGGAGGTTGCATCTGGGGGCTTGTATTCAAACACAATGACTAGGTTTTGGTTCTCGATCTTTATTGATAGAAAATTCAACTACCTCTTTTGTGGTGTTCAGCAAAATCCTGCAGATAAGGGACCTGACATACAGGCCAACCCCCCTTGTTGCCTGTTTTTTTCTGTCGCATCTAAAAAAGGGTTTTAAACCCATTATCCATATTTCACTGTCAAAGTGATTCTTTTGTGTGAGTCTCTGTGAAGGCTGCAAACATTTCATTAGACTCCCCTAGAAGTCCATGATTTAAAAAGGGATTTTGTTGTTGGTGGATGGCTTAAGGCCCTGTATATTAGCAAATATGAACGAGGTTGTATTCTGTGTTTGTTTGGGGGATTTTGTTATTGGCATCATTAGTTGTAATTCTGGAGGGCCATGGGTGGCCACTGGCTGCGCCTCCAGTCTAACAAGGCTCCATGGTGGTGGACTATTTTTGTTATTTCCTTCCATTTTCTTTTTTCGTTTCCTGCCCCTAAAAAATCACCTGGAGTTGGGTTGTCGTAGCTACTATTGTTTGTATTGTGGGGTCTGTGCCTCCTGGTCCCTTTAGATGGTATGCAGGGCACTCGATGTTGTAAAAACTGCTTCTGGAGGGCCGAGGAGTGACACATTTTTGGGTGAAAGAAAGTACAGGAAGAAGAACGACACACTCCTTAGACAGGAGGTCGCTACATTTTTTGGGATGGTCAAAGTTGCATTTCCCCTTTTTTTCCCTGTTTTTTTCCATGCTTACAGATGCCCAAGCATTAATTTGCACAAATTCACCTTTGGTTGAGAATTGTTGGGAGGTGTGTTGTCAATTTCTGCAGGTTCTGGGACTGCACTATAATCCTCAGTATCCAAGCCAGAGCCACACCGTCCTGGATTCCATCTACTTTCCTCAGTAGAGGAAGAAGGAGGAGACTCCTCTCCAACATCTGTACTGTGGGCCACGGTCTTGTGCAATGATGGTTGTATATTTACGGTTTTAGATGGTTGTATATTTACGGTTTTAGATGGTTGTATATTTACTGTTTTTGTGGTGGTTTTGGTAGTGTCCCTAGGAGAGTCTGGGCTGGCAATAAGGCTGGGGTCTGGGTCTGGGTCAGCACTGGGGCTGGGGGCTGGGGCTGGGTCTGGGTCAGTGGCTGGGCCTGGGCCAGCACCAGCACTGTGGGTATTGGTGCTATGCCTGGGGGAGCCTGGGCCAGCACCAGCACTGTGGGTAGGGGTGGGGCACTGGGTAGCAGTAGTGACCTTTGGTATGATCACTACAGGTGAGTAGGGGTGGGTCACTGGGTAGCAGTAGTGACCTTGGGTATGATCATCACTACCGGTGGGTAGGGGTGGAGCACTGGGTAGCAGTAGTGACTTTGGGTATGATCACTACAGGTGGGTAGGGGTTGGTCACTGGGTAGCAGTAGTGATCATGGGTATGATCGTCACTACAGGTGGGTAGGGGTGGGGCACTGGGTAGCAGTAGTGACCTTGGGTATGATCATCACTACAGGTGGGTAGGGGTGGGGCACTGGGTAGCAGTAGCGACCTTGGGTATGATCATCACTACAGGTGGGACGTGCCCAGCCTCTCAATGTACCTCCTCTCAGTAATCACCTTCACTCCCTGTACTCACCAACTTGTGCACGTGGGGGGTTGAATCACGGTTCCTGGACCCACCTTCGTTCTCACCCACTTGTTTCTGGAGTCGAGTGTCAGCTCCTGACTGGCCAGGTTGTGGCGTCGTACTGGCCAGGTTGTGGCGTCGTACTGGCCAGGTTGTGGCGTCGTACTGGCCAGGTTGTGGCGTCGTACTGGCCAGGTTGTGGCAGTTCCTAGGCTCTTGGGCTTTATTATATAATTGAAAACTAAGAAATAATTTACTTCCACAAATTAATAGGTCAGTTCATCCTACTTGCTTGTCTCCTGATTCAAATGTTTGTTGTTCTTCTGTGGTCTCTTGTTTTTGTTCCATAAGAACATAACGAAGAAGCAGTGCAGCAGGCTTACTGGCCCATGCTAGGCAGGTCCATGTTACCTTCTGGCCTACATCTGTCAGGTCCAAGTCACATCCATTTAAGTAGGAGGGAGCGGTTTATAAGACCCACTGGCCCAAGCCCGTCAGGTTCAACTCATACCCACCCACACCCACTCATATATTTGTGTAACCTATTTTTAAAACTACATAAGGTTTTAGCTTCAGTGACACTACTCGGGGGTTGGTTCCTCTCATCTTATTATTCTTTTTATTAATGTTATTATTCATATCTTTACATTTACAAGGAAGCACCTCACCGGTGACGGCTATACAACGCTTGTTGAACGGAGGGTAATCATGTTTGATCAAATGAAGGGAAGGTCTGGAGGGTGTTCCAGGGGTCAACGCCTCCACGGCCCTCTCCTTGGCCATTCCACCCGGTGGATCAGGGCCTGATCAACCAGGCTGTTAATGCTGGCCGTACGAAGTCCAGCCTACGAACCACATTATTATTATTATTATAATCAAAGGGGAAGCGCTAAACCCGGAGGATTATATAGCGCCTGGGGGGGGATGTGGAAGGCATTCAGGCTTAATTCGGGGAACTGGTGCACAGATCCAATTTCCTAAATCAAGAGCCCCTCACCAACATCAAGGAACCTTCCTTGAGGGGGTCTACGAACCACAGCCCGGCTGATAAGGTACTGACTTTAGGTATCTGTCCAACTCCCTCTTGAAGGTAGCCAAGGGTCTATTAGTAATACCCCTTGTGCATGGTGGGAGGCTGTTAAACAGTCTTGGGCTCCAGACACTTATTGTGTTTTACTCTTAGCGTACTCATGGCGCCCCTGATTTTCACTAGGGGAGATGTTACACCGTCTGTCCAGTCTTTTGCTTTCCTAGAAAACGATTTGTGTGTGTAAATTTGATACTAGTCCCTCTAGAATTTTATGAAAAAGAGTAACAACAACCCAGGATAACCTAATCACTGTGACTTCCATTGAGGTTCTTTGGTCTACTCCGGGATGCCACCCACAACAGTCGACTAACACCCAGGCACCTACTTACTGCTAGGTGAAGAGGAGAGCAATGAGTGTTAGAAAGCATGCCCGACCTATTCACTCGCCCCAGGGTCGAACCCGGGTCCCTCGGATGTGAACCAAATGCGTTATCATTGAAGAAAGAGTCCCCACATAAAGATGACGCTACTGGGTCGCAAAACGACGCTACTTGGTCATAAAATGACGCTACTGGGTCACAAAATGACGCTACTTGATTGTACACTCACGCTACTGGGTCACAAAACGACGCTACTTGATTGTACACTCACGCTACTGGGTCACAAAATGACGCTACTTGATTGTACACTCAGGCTACTGGGTCACAAAATGACGCTACTTGATTGTACACTCACGCTACTGGGTCACAAAATGACGCTACTTGGTCATTTTTGTCACTTATGCAATTTTACTGTGCTGCAGTTTAGTTAATGGGGGGTTTAAAGCTTATCAACTACACGAGGGTCATTAAGAGTGAATGTAACCTGTTAACCACGTAACAAGAATATGAGGAGTTTAATCCCTAAAACAGGCAATAAACTCTCAATACATATACACTGAGAGACATACACTTCTCAGTGTATGTAATTATCTGCTGCCACACCAAGACTTAATTATATGCCTTTACAGTGTAAATATGTCACATTTTACCTTAACTTTTTTAATATTTTACTTACACTCTCTCGACGCCTCAAGTGTCCACGGAGAGAGAGCGAGAGAGAGAAAGAGAGAGGGGAGAGAGAGAGTATCCACTTACCTGACAGAGACACCATACCCTGGTCTTCATGTTGATATAAGCGCTGGTGACGATCTCATAACTTCTTGTTGCTGTTCATGTTCTTGAGTTCTACGGTGATCCCTTCCAGGAATCCTGTTATATTCTTCTTGTTTCCAGGGGTCCCTAGTTCCCTAGTAGTTTTTCTACAGTCCTATAGTAGATCTGGAGGTCCTACAGTCCTCTCCAGGGGGTGATGATGGGTGGGCGGGAATGAGACCGCCCACGGTCAAACAGTAATTTTTCCAAAACCAGGAGAGATCAAGGAACCCGTAGTGGACAGATAAAGTGTCACTCGTGGATGGACCTGACCGCCAAATGGACATGACTAGCAGTCCCCCTCGAGTTACGCTTTCTTCCGTCCTGTTATAGCGTAAAAACTACCCCGAAATGCAAATTTGTTCGTGGGAACTGGAGCGAGTTGAGGTTGTGTGACCCGGCCTTGGTAACTGGCGGGAGTGGTGGGTTTGTGAGGGTGGTGGGGCAGGGAGGTCAGCAGAGTGGACCACAGCAGTGAGCAACACACGCGGCTGGACGAGCGAACCCGACCCCGTCCAACACTGAACTGGGCACAACCTGGCCAACACCATGCTACCTCTACTACCCCCTCCCATTCTCTCTTTCTTTCCTTTCTCTCTCTCTCTCTCTCTCTCTCTCTCTCTCTCTCTCTCTCTCTCTCTCTCTCTCTCTCTCTCTTCTCTCTCTCTCTCTCTCTCTCTCGTACCATCACTAAGAACAATAAAGTCGTCACCTTGAACCAGAGGTTGTATATGGTGTGTCAGTGATTAACAACGCCTAGAATAACAGCCATAAATAACTATTAAACTTAAAACATCAAGCGAACCCTCACTGACAGCAAGGAACCGCGCTGACATCAACAAACTTGAGCAGCAGGAATGAGGAAGAATAGAGGGAGACGGGAGGGGAAGAAAGAGGAAGTAACAGAAGTAGAGGTAAGTGAGCAGTAACGCGAGAGCCAGGCCAGGTTATGGTGTGTGGGGCTAGAAACGGTGTAGCCTGTCGGTGGCCCTATTAACCAAAACAACAGCACCAAGATGGAAGCGTGGCAAATGGACCATCTGGTCCCAGGCGCCGTATGACCCTTACACTTGTAAATATATTGACAATTGCAGGTGCACTTATTCCTTTGATCAAAACAATCTTCACATAATTTTTCACCGTAAACTAAAGCAATTTTTATTTCAGCATTTGCTGAAGAATAAGCTAGGCCAACCCTGTATTGACCTTATTATCACTTGTTGCCCCAGTCTTGGCCTTATTACCACCTGCTGCCTTAGTCTTGACTTTATTACCACCTGCTGCCTTAGTCTTGACCTTATTACCACCTGCTGCTCGCTAATTATTTGTTAATTAATAGTTGATATATTAACTAGACTCCATTCTTGGTGGTTAAGTCAGTTAAGTGAACCAGTTGCTAGAATGAGTTGACTGCTTTGTTGAGTTCATCTTCTTGATCCAGTGGATCCTTGCAAGGTGAGCACTTTGATCATTGGTTCGTCATCGGCCCTTCATCCAATGGATTTTTTCAAGGTGAGCATCATGATCATTGATCCGTCATCGGCCCTTGACCCAGTGGATCCTTTCCAGGTAAGAGTCTTGATCATTGATCCGTCCTCGTCTCTTGATCCTTCCTTGATTTAAATTCAGTCTTTAAGCTTTCATCCTTGATCCAGTCTTCATTTTCGATCTTTCCTCGAGCCTTAACCCTTCCTCGAGCTTTAACCCTTCCCCGAGCTTTAACCCTTCCTCGAGCTTTAACCCTTCCCCGAGCTTTAACCCTTCCCCGAGCTTTAACCCTTCCCCGAGCTTTGATTCTTCTTCATCCTTCCTCCAAGGAACTGAGAAAGTGTTTAGATTATTTTCCTTTTGGTTAAATTATACAGTTGGTAGTGTTTATGTAACTTGTGTTTATGTCACTAGTGTTTATGTCACTGGTGTTTATAACTCTGGTCTTTATGTCACTAGTGTTTATAGCACTGGTGTTTATGTAACTGGTGTTTATGTTACTGGTGTTTATGTCACTGGTGTTTATAACTCTGGTCTTTATGTCACTAGTGTTTATAGCACTGGTGTTTATGTAACTGGTGTTTATGTTACTGGTGTTTATGTCACTGGTGTTTATAACACTAGTGTTTATGTCACTGGTGCTTAAATAAGTGATGTTTATAACGCTGGGGTTTATATCACTGATGTTTATATTCCTGATGTTTATATCCCGAAATCAGTGAATCCCTTGAAGGATTGGAAAGCTCTTGATCCATCGAATTGGAACTACTCTCCTTCATATCATAGCTGCTTTGCTGTATGATGACTCTTTTCAGCGATTTTTTTTTTTTTGATCTTGTGACCGAGGTCTCAAGACATTGGTCTGTCACATGATAACACCAGTAAGTGTAGCTTCTGGTCTTGTGACCGAGGTCTCAAGACATTGGTCTATCACATGATAACACCAGTAAGTGTAGCTTCTGGTCTTGTGACCGAGGTCTCAAGACATTGGTCTGTCACATGATAACACCAGTAAGTGTAGCTTTGGTCTTGTGACGAGGTCTCAAGACATGGTCTGTCACATGATAACACCAGTGAGTGTGCTTCTGGTCTTGTGACCGAGGCCTCAAGACATTGGTCTGTCACATGATAACACCAGTGAGTGTAGCTCTTGGTTCTTGTGACGAGGTCTCAAGACATTGGTCTGTCACATGATAACACCAGTGAGTGTAGCTTCTGGTCTTGTGACCGAGGCCTCAAGACATTGGTCTGTCACATGATAACACCAGTAAGTGTAGCTTCTGGTCTTGTGACCGAGGTCTCAAGACATTGGTCTGTCACATGATAACACCAGTGAGTGTAGCTTCTGGTCTTGTGACCGAGGTCTCAAGACATTGGTCTGTCACATGATAACACCAGTGAGTGTAGCTTCTGGTCTTGTGACCGAGGTCTCAAGACATTGGTCTGTCACATGATAACACCAGTGAGTGTAGCTTCTGGTCTTGTGACCGAGGTCTCAAGACATTGGTCTGTCACATGATAACACCAGTGAGTGTAGCTTCTGGTCTTGTGACCGAGGTCTCAAGACATTGGTCTGTCACATGATAACACCAGTGAGTGTAGCTTCTGGTCTTGTGACCGAGGTCTCAAGACATTGGTCTGTCACATGATAACACCAGTGAGTGTAGCTTCTGGTCTTGTGACCGAGGTCTCAAGACATTGGTCTGTCATATGATAACACCAGTGAGTGTAGCTTCTGGTCTTGTGACCGAGGCCTCAAGACATTGTTCTGTCATATGATAACACCAGTGAGTGTAGCTTCTGGTCTTGTGACCGAGGCCTTATGACATTGGTCTGTCATATGATAACACCAGTGAGTGTAGATTCTGGTCTTGTGACCGAGGCCTCAAGACGTTGGTCTGTCATATGATAACACCAGTGAGTGTAGCTTCTGGTCTTGTGACCGAGGCCTCAAGACATTGGTCTGTCATATGATAACACCAGTGAGTGTAGCTTCTGGTCTTGTGACCGAGGCCTCAAGACATTGGTCTGTCATATGATAACACCAGTGAGTGTAGCTTCTGGTCTTGTGACCGAGGTCTTCAGACACAGTCTCCCAGCTCAGGCTGACACTATCCAAGTCTTCCAGCTCAGGCTGACACTACTGAAGTCTCCCAGCTCAGGCTGACACTACTGAAGTCTCCCAGTTCAGGCTGACACTACTGAAGTCTCCCAGCTAAGGCTGGCACTATTCAAGTCTCCCAGCTCAGGCTGACACTACTCAGGTCTCCCAGCTCAGGCTGGCACTATTCAAGTCTCCCAGCTCAGGCTGACACTACTCAAGTCTCCCAGCTCAGGCTGACACTACTCAAGTCTCCCAGCTCAGGCTGGCACTACTCAAGTCTCCCAGCTCAGCCCTACTCAGGTCTCCCAGCTCAGGCTGACATTACTCAAGTCTCCCAGCTCAGGCTGACACTACTCAGGTCTCCCAGCTCAGGCTGACACTACTCAAGTCTCCCAGTTCAGGCTGACACTACTCAAGTCTCCCAGCTCACTCTGGCACTACTCAAGTCTCCCAGCTGAGACTGACACTACTCAGGTCTCCCAGCTCAGGCTGACACTACTCAAGTCTCCCAGCTCAGGCTGGCACTATTCAAGTCTCCCAGCTCAGGCTGACACTATTCAAGTCTCCCAGCTCACGCTGACACTACTGAAGTCTCCCAGCTCAGGCTGACACTACTCAAGTCTCCCAGCTCAGGCTGACAGTACTCAAGTCTCCCAGCTCAGGCTGACACTATTCAAGTCTCCCAGCTCAGGCTGACAGTACTCAAGTCTCCCAGCTCAGGCTGACACTATTCAAGTCTCCCAGCTCAGGCTGACACTACTCAAGTCTCCCAGCTCAGGCTGACACTACTCAAGTCTCCCAGCTCAGGCTGACACTACTCAAGTCTCCCAGCTCAGGCTGGCACTATTCAAGTCTCCCAGCTCAGGCTGACACTATTCAAGTCTCCCAGCTCACGCTGACACTACTGAAGTCTCCCAGCTCAGGCTGACACTACTCAAGTCTCCCAGCTCAGGCTGACAGTACTCAAGTCTCCCAGCTCAGGCTGACACTATTCAAGTCTCCCAGCTCAGGCTGACAGTACTCAAGTCTCCCAGTCAGGCTGACACTATCAAGTCTCCCAGCTCAGGCTGACACTACTCAAGTCTCCCAGCTCAGGCTGACACTACTCAAGTCTCCCAGCTCAGGCTGACACTACTCAAGTCTCCCAGCTCAGGCAGATGCTGCTAAAGTCTCGCAACTCAGGCTGACACTACTGAAGTCTAGTAGCTCAGGCTGACACTACTGAAGTCTCGCAACTCAGGCTGACACTACTGAAGTCTAGTAGCTCAGGCTGACACTACTGAAGTCTCGCAACTCAGGCTGACACTACTGAAGTCTAGTAGCTCAGGCTGACACTATGAAGTCTCGCAACTCAGGCTGACACTACTGAAGTCTAGTAGCTCAGGCTGACACTACTGAAGTCTCGCAACTCAGGCTGACACTACTGAAGTCTAGTAGTCAGGCTGACACTACTGAAGTCTCGCAACTCAGGCTGACACTACTGAAGTCTAGTAGCTCAGGCTGACACTACTGAAGTCTAGTAGCTCAGGCTGACACTACTGAAGTCTAGTAGCTCAGGCTGACACTACTGAAGTCTCGCAACTCAGGCTGACACTACTGAAGTCTAGTAGCTCAGGCTGACACTACTGAAGTCTCGCAACTCAGGCTGACACTACTCAAGTCTAGTAGCTCAGGCTGACACTACTCAAGTCTCGCAACTCAGGCTGACACTACTCAAGTCTAGTAGCTCAGGCTGACACTACTCAAGTCTAGTAGCTCAGGCTGACACATACACATAATTTATGCGTATATCATCCGCGTAATGGCATATAACAGGGAAAAACATTGTTAGTTTTGTTGCCACTATGTAACTCTCACATAGAATATGGTAGTAGCACCCTTCTGATGTATCCAGTTTTGATAAATATAAAAAAAAAAAA